CTGATATATATATATATATACACACACTCAACTGAACCACAATCCTGGCTGGCTCCTATACCACTCACTCCAGTGATGGTATGTCCCTCAGTGTCCCTACATTCTATACACTGTGCAGAATGTGATTACTCACAGGATCTTAGACTACTCGAGCGGAGGGTGATCAAGGTTGACAAAACCAGTCTAAGAGCAAGTCGAGACTATGATTCTTAGCTTCCTAGACAAAAGATCGCTTAACCCTTGCAGTGCAGGGGGTATCCCAACTGCAAGGGATACAATTTGAATTTGAATTTCCTGGACTTCAGCTTTAAATATATTTTTTTCTGGAATTGTTTGTTAAGCGGTAGTCTTCTTGACAGGGTGAATTCAAGTGCCAATTAGTTCTGATACTTTATTTCTTTGGCAAGTTGAGGCCCCTGTTTTTATGCTAGTGTACTTCAGGCAAATCTATAGCTCTTATTGCAAAAAAAAAAGAATTATGAGAAGTTTAGCAAGGCTCTTGAGATTGCTTTAAGGTTCTATCTCCTTTTGTAAATGTATGATCACACTATTTAATCATATATTTTCCTTATATAAAAAGCATGACCTATGGATTCCAAACCTTGGGCCCCCCAGTTTAGGGGGACCCTATTTGTGCTGAGAACAGCCATTGTGTCCCATATGGATTTGATTCACCTTCTTCTGAACCATAATCCACTAATTAGTCAAATCCAGTGCCTCAATCACATCTGTTCCACTTTTGAATAAAAACTTTTCTTTTATTATAAGAAAGCATTACCAAAAGCACTGACTTTTAATGATGGAAAAGAGTGTGGTAAAATTAGTTTAATATTGCTGGACCAATTGATCCTGAACCATAAACAACTTCCTCATCATATATTTTGCAATCATATGTAAGTGTTCAGTAAAATATTCTTAAGTCTTAAAAATAAAATCCTTGTATGATATTTAATGATGGGGACTCTTTTTATACTTTAGGTAGATTTAAAGAGACAAGAGTAAATATACTGTGTGTTATTTTATACACTTTAAACCGCATGGGTGGAAGAAAATCGCCGTCTGACTAAATAAATCACAGACAACGGGAAATAAGCGATTTTCAGAATGTGTCCCTGCAGAGAGGAAAACAGAAGTGCACTGTGGCTTTTTTTCAGTGGTTTCAACTACTCCAATTTGCAAAAATGCATTACTTTTAACTAAGTCTTTTTCATAGAGAAATAATCAAGTTTTCAATTCAAGTCCATCATCATTCTTTTAGCTAGTTAAACATTTTATGTCAAGAGCAGAAAACATAAGTAATGCGGTCTACTGGGTAATCAGTGGCAATAAAATTGTGTATTATATAGACTATAAAATTACACTATACTCCAGTGAGTGTCATAAGTCTTGTTAGGGAATTAGGTTGAAGAATGTTAAATTTAGAGGCACATTTGTTTACTGATAGAATTAAAAGGACTGTAATTGCTAACTGTTTTTTAAGATTGCAAATTGCCTGGCAAAGTCTGGAGATCAGCATAACCACCAGACAGCTATCATCTGTAACACCATAGTAGGAATAGAGTGGAAATCTTTCAATGGAGAAACCTGTACCAGTGATGGCTGTCTCATAGGGGATTTCTCCTCAGTTGGAGAGAATTCCCTTCACTTATGGCTGTGTATCTAGGACAGGAAGTAAATGGAATTCTTTCCATTTGGAAATAGACTGTCAAAAAAAAAACTAAACAGGACTTTTCATACTTTATCCAAAGCTAAAAAGAAATTGAAGATAGATATTCTATAACTGCCATGGTACAAACTAGGTAAATGGAATTGTGCTCTCTGAGATAAGCTTTAAAATATATTTATTTTATTAAATGTTATATCTGTTAAAATATATCTCTTTTATTCATCCTTTGGGGAGTGCATTCTTGTTTTTACATTGGGTTCATATTTGTGGTATTGAGACATGTCCTTTGTTTATTTGTGTGATCTTTAACTAACATTTGATATTGGTTGAAGGCAATTAAGGGAGATCAGGAAAGGCAAATCATACTGTATTAAGCATTACTATTAGGGTTGCACAGATACCAATTACAGTACTCGGTAAAACTCGCTGTAAATATTATGCAGTTTTATTTGTGTTTTAATATGAAGATTATGCCATCTGTACATATTTTATTGAAGTTGTTCTTACTGAAGTGGTGTCAGAAATGTAAAGTTATGGTGATCCTGTTGCTACAGGTTTGAAACAAATCTAAAGACAACTTATTTAAGAAGACGCTCCATACCTTTCCTTGATTCTTGACACCATGCTCCTTTAAGGCAATATTTACTTTATCAGTCAGCGGCAGTCTGAATGTAATCATACATAGTACGATTACACGTGGTTTGGGATAAATGATTGTCCCAGGACACAGCATAGATTTTTTATGTTTCAGGATTCTGCACCATACCTACATTTGTTCCAGATGCTGAACTCTTCTCACAGATGCAACATATCGAAGGAAGTCACCCCTGCACAAAATAATTATGTAATTGTAATGGGGGTAATGCCACATATAGAGCTGGGTAAACATCAGTAGATAAAAAAAAGATTCTACATTTGCCAGTTCTCCAAACAGGCTCAGTCTAAACATCATTCAGTTATTTGTTTTGAAAAAAATCTGGATGTTTTCCTAAATGTACAGAATATTACTGGATATTGAGTTAATATAGGTATATTAAGCATCAGAGATTGTTGATCCAGGGTATATCCGATTGCCTTATGGGATCAGAAAGGATTTTTTTCCCCCTGTTGGAACAAATTGAGCCATGCTTTATGGGGGG